TCTGGCTATCCTCCCCCCCCCCAAAAAAAAGAAAGAAAGAATAGTGTGAAATGAAATATAAAATTTTAGCTCATGTCACTTAACAAACTGCATTATTATGAAGTAATAAAATTATACTCCTAATCATTTCACTAATCATTTTTTAATTGTTAATCAAAATGTATACTCCTAATCATTTAACTAACAAACATTTTCATGATATTACTGCTGTCCATCCAACATTTTTTTCAACAGAAAGTGCTAAAATACTTATAATATTACTATCCTCTTTAAATCTTCATTTTTATCAATCATGTTATACACACTACTGTTGCTTCTAATCAATCATGGAATTTGAAAATATAATAAAAAGGGCAAACCAGTGTATTCCTAACTTTTGAGATTTTCTGAGAGAGAGTATTTGTGTTATTTTCTAAAGGGATTTAAATGTTTTGGGGATGCTGTAGAAAATGTTTTTATCGAATTAATGGACTTATTATGAACTGAGCCATACACCTACATACAACTGTTGAGTCTTTTTGGGTCACAATGCAGAAGAAATTCAACATAATGCAATAACCATGGATCCGATTCCCAAAACTGATCCATGGTTTTTTCATTGTTAGAATAAAGAGAATGGAATAATAGAAGTTAAAAGAAAATTCAAATGAAGTATAAAATGGTGTTAACGATTAGAAGAAAATGCAAGTGGAAATGCTGGTGATGGAACATCAAGACAGATGGCACAATACACAAACTGAAGTATCAACATCATGTAGTAGCAATCTTACAAGCCACAAATAGTAACATTCTACAAGTTAAACAGGAAGATTTGAATGCTTCAAGATTGATGCATACTTGCCAACCTGAAAATCAGGAGATTTTCTTAAGAAATCAGGAGATTTTTCACAATGTTAAAAATACTTTTTAAATGATAAAAATATAGTTTTTAATAATGAATGAACTTTAAGTAGTAACTAATTCTTAAATGCAAGCAACACAAAAATACCTTACACAAAAAAAAAAAAAAAAAAAAAAAAAAATTACTACACGCATTGTTTAAGAAAAAAAAAAAAGACACTTTAATCAGTTTTCGTACAAATGTTATAAACAGTGGCAGATTTTGCTTTCTTTAAGAAAGAAACTTCATCATTGTGTTCACAGCAATTGCCACGTAGGCCTGATTTCGCTAATAAAAGTTTTTCTAATGTGCCATCTCTAATATTAGATCTAAATTTAGTCTTCGTTTTCGCAACAGCACTGAGGATCCTCTTACACTCTGCATTACTATAGGGAACTGTCAAGATGGCCAACACAATTCTAGACAGTTCACTATATTTAAAAATTCCATCAGCACCTTTCAGTTTTGCAATTAAACTCCACTGGGTGTCAATCGTAGCTTTATAACTTCATCCAAGTTTTCTAATTGTAAACTGCTGTTACGCAGCTGTTGGAACTGTTTCAATTTTTCCTTCCTTTTAGAACTCCTCTCAAGATAATAATAAATATCAACAATGTGTTCATCCACATTTATTGGTAAAGAAGTTGCCCCTTTTTCAGCTGCTAAATTTAAGAGGTGACAGGTGCACCTCATAATCTGCAAATCTGAATTTTCCTTTCTCAAGATGCCTGCAACACCAGCCTTCCAAGCCTACCAATACTGGTGCATTATCGGCACCAAGTGCTAAGCAATTATCCAGAGTGCCTGTAGTTTTCTTTTAAAGTTTTAATAATTAGCTGTGCTATATTAAAGCCTGTCAAATGTCCTTCTAAAGTGGGAACATAAAGTAAACTGCACTCAATTTCTGAAGACTCTGGATCAAAAAAAAGAAACAACAATTGGATACAGTTTTGAATCGGTATTATTGCTTCCATCAGTAGAGAGGCAGACCGGAGCTGTTTTAATGTAATCAATAACTGAAGATTTATTTTTCAAACCCATTTCTTTAACAATTGCACCTGTTTTGATTCTTGCACCTTGAGTATTTCTTAGTGATTTCACTATCGGGAAACATTTTTCTAAATAAAGCTGCAGCGTGATCCGATGCATTCAGTGGCAGGTTGTGCTCCAGTAAAAAGGCAGAGAACAGACATTCTGCATTAATAAACTTTTTGGTCCTTTGTTTCCGAACAAAAATTTAATTTTTCGTTTTTTTCAAAACAACTCATGTTATCCTTGTGTTTTTGTGTACGCACATGTTTGAAAACATCCGCCCTTCCAACATACGAAATCGAAAAATCGCAACGACAGGCGGTACACATCGCAAATTTATTACATTTCCTTGAGGAAATAATGGAAGGAAAGTCAACTGTGTACGATTTTTGAAACGTACACGAGTATTTCACCTTTCTCGCAGACGTAACAACAAAAGATGATAATTTCTAAAACTATTTCCCTAAGGCACGTGTACTCACACAACTCAGGACAAAATGAACGAAATAACTAAAAAGAACGTCCAAATAACAACTTGCTTTGTCCTCATTGGCTAATATATGCCAGCTGACACGCAGTGGAGCTCGAAGCCCATTGGAGAACTGGAGAATGACGTTTCTGGATACGTATAATGCTCTCACTCACAAAGCAGAAGCTATCTGATTCGCAAGGTTTTGTTTTAGATATAATGTAGAGAAAATTCAATTGCTTTCAGACGTCCAAAAGCACTTTTTTATTCATATAACAAAGTATTAAGCCAAGTTGCATAAAAATCGTGAGAAATTTTAAGAATAAGAAAAAGTCGGGAGAAATATATTGTAAATCGGGTTGGCGGGAGAGCGATCGAAAATCGGGAGTCTCCCGCCTAAATCGGGAGAGTTGGCAACTCTGTTGATGCAAACAGTTCCTCATCAGTTGGTTGAGGAAATTTTGTAGTTAAGCCATTCTTTTCAAAAAATGTCATTAGCATTAAATTGTCATCATGACACTTAGAAAGGTGTCATACGAGATCCTGGCATCAAAAATAACATAGTATGGTGCTCAATGATGATTCTTAATTCTATCTCACTAATGAAGAGATTATCAGATGAATACTGCAATCAACCTGCTATTTCTGCAGTAATCAAACAGGTCATAATCCATAAGCAATCAACAGTTGATCATCTCCAATATGTATACTAGATATTAATAAGGGAAGCTTACATTGATGAAATGCTCCATTCTATATACCTCCAAAATGGTATTTTATTTATAATGCTTACCTACACATAGCATGGTTTTCAAAAATTCTATGTGCTTAATTCTTTAGCTAACATTATTTCCAAATATCTTGGCAGTACAAAATCTAAAGGCCGTTGAGTGAATGATCTCTAGTGCCCCCAAATGATTAAATTTGAACTTGGGCTTACACAACACAGTCCACAATCATCCACTGAACCAATGCAATACTTAGATTATGACATTACCATCTAATATGATACTCTACCACTTACTGATCATTCTGCAATATTCAGCCATTGGAACTGTGCAAGCTGTCTCATTCCAATCACTCCTTCGTTGTACTCAACTTTCACTAGAAAACAGGATACAGATGTAGAGCAAAATATGATCATCAGTGAAATAAAAAATCTTTAGAGAACTGAACCAACTGACTGAAGTACATACTGTATACATTATAGGATGGAACCATAAAAGCTTTACACAACATTTAAGAAAATATGAAGCCATTCCTCCTGTATAGTAATATCTTAATTCTGAAAGCATAATGAGAGGTAGTATTTGAGCGCAAAGTTTGGACTTCAGATATTCTTATATTGTTCAACTCAGGGGAATGAAGAAGCCAGACAAGAAATCCTACTTCATCGTCATGCTCTTTGAACTGAATTATATTTGAATGGGACTAGCAGTGTGAATAGCAACACTGTTGCCTTAAAAAAGCAGCTGCCTCCACAATATACAGAGTAGAAAAAAGAATGGACGTGATCTGCCAAGATGCTCTGATGATGACCAGCTTCAAACTTCTATTGCAGGATAACAAGTGTCACTGGCAAGGCTGGTATAAATGATTCTGTAGGTTTTTCCCAAATAAAAATGCATACAGTGTGAATGGTCTGAAATAAGGTAAAATGTTGATTCATTAGACCAGATGATTTATTGCCACTGCACTCTGCACCAATGGCACTGCTTGGGAGCATTACATGTTATAATTAGTAGTAAGAAAACTTCCATAAATGTTCGCAGTATAGAGTTTTGTTCTAGAGAATTGGAGATGAGTATTCATTTGAGATGTTACATGGGATAGCAGTTGCTTTTGGGCTACTATGTGCTTTAAATCCATCTATCCTTATCAGTTTATCAGTCAGCTTTGCATTTCAATCATTGCTGTGCTCTGATGATGCAATCTTGCTGCCTTTTTTTACACAGTTATAACAATTGATGTTCCTTTCACATTCCAAAAATTTTGCTGCTTCTGTAGCCAAGGTTCACGCTAAATGCACTGGCACAATTCTGTCACAGTATTAAGAGATATTATGGTGATATACTTGCCAAATGATGTTGCAACCACAGATGTAACAGTTGTGGAGGTCGCTTAACGATTCTTCTTGGCTGCTATAACAATATACCAATCTTCAGAAGAGGTGGTAACTCTCAGTTTACTAGAACAGGTCTCCAAACTGCTAGCTGATTTATTTGGAATTGTTTTCATATTCTAGAAATTACCAAATGATAATGGCAAAGAAAAGAGAGACATCTTTAATTGACTGTCTCTTTTCAAAACGTCCGATAACACGTCAGAATACACTATCCACTATTCATCTGCTTTCAGCCACAGAAACAGGTATAACATAAAAAATTGTCAACTGTGATTGGCTGAAACATATGATATTTGCATAAGGTCATCTGCATCTGCAGCTATATTGGGCCACTCGAATTCAAATACATTTTTTAAAAGAGTTAATTTGCATTGTGTGCTTAACTTTTGGAAGTCAGTGTATATTTTCCCCAAAAAACTAAAAACATGACATCGATAATACAAAAATTAACACAGAATTTTTAATCTTTATACCAAGCATTCATTTCATCTTACCTCTCTAGAGGAACTCTGTGAGGACCCGTAATTGACATTCGATGTAAATAACGAAGAAACTTCTCAAATGTATCAAAAAAGGGCCATCTTGATAATAGACAAATGGATTTATTCATTTGCAAACATTTATTTTTTCTGTGTTCATCTGTTACATAATTCAACTGTACCTTCATTTCATCATTTAATTTGGCTTCTGGAAAAGCTTCATAAAATGTAACAGCCGCACCATAAACCTGGAATTAAAATGTAAAATTTTTAAAACAAAGATTATAATATAAAGATAATAGCAAAAATGAACACACTTAAAAATGATAAAGCTAACTAAAGTAACCTTACTTTTTCAGCTGAATAAGACGTTAGAACAAATGTGGAAAACACAGGTTTGGGATGCTGGGCTTTTTTTGGCCAACATTCAATTGTTGCACCCATGGGTAAACAGAAGAGAGGAACTGATGGAGGTAGGGGAAATGTCTCATAATCTTCCAAAGGAAATCTTCCTATAATACCTGTTTAAAAATAAATTTCTTGGATCAGAAAAAAAAAAAAGTTCAACTGATTATGTTATGACATACATCATGTCAAGTGTACTTAACTACCATTCAAAGGTATTTTTTATGTATTAATGCAACCACCTTAGCAAAAGTTAACAAATTTTCAAAATGTGTTAAACTATAGTAACTATGCACATAGCAATTCTTCAGTTTTAACAAGCAATGCCATCACATGAGTTCCTTTTGTTATATTTCCAAATTCCAGCAGTTTTTATTGTTGTGTTTTTCTTTTCTGACACCAGTTGTTACGCTATTTTCTTCCTTCACATTCGTATGGGGTTTGTGAGGATTTGGAGTGAATAATGACAATACTACTTGATGAAGTATCGAAACACACTTTATTGGCCAGTACTGTCAGGACAGCTCCAAAACACATTTTACAGTCGTCGATGAACTACTATAAACACGCTGACAAGATTGGCAACACAGCCTTCAGATTATCAGGCTATCACGGTGGAGACAGCTTCTCTGCAAAGCACCAAAGTACAGCTCCTGACTCTGCTTGATCGTTCTCGGAACTCCACGTATTCTCCAGACTCTCCACGCTACAACTCGTGATGCACTCGATGACACAAGAGCACAGCTCTCAACTCTTCGGTTCAGTCGTTCTCGGAGCTCAACATGCTCTCTCGATGATGCACTAACCGCAATATACTACGAGACTCTTTCGGTGCGCTCGCTGCCCGGCTGTCAATTCGATCAACTCCACAGGGATGGACTCGCTAGACGAGACACCAACTCAATACTAACTATCTCGTACTCCAGATGAGGCACACTCTCAATACTGACTGCGGACCAGCAGGGTTTATATAGCTTCCGGCTTGTGTTTGAGAACATTCTGGGCTAAACCGGTAAGAATTTGTTACAGAAGGTTCTCCATCCATCCATGGCTTCTTGCCAAATGTGGCAACCCTAAAACTGCTTTGCGGGGGGAAGCCATCTCACCACGCCTTGACATTTCGTAACATTATAAATAAATAATGATATTTTTTGCTTCAAACTCAATTTTAAAGCATACACTTGTGGGATTCACCTACAAAAGAAGAAACTACGGTTAGTATCTACATGAACACAGTATTTTGCCCTAAAATTCCTAAACGGGTAAACTGCTCTGAATATACACTGGTCAACAAATTAAAGGATAATGAGAAAAAAATATGCTTACTACGTTAATGTTGCAAATAGTGCCCAGTGCTGTAATTATTTATGTTAATTAAATACAGCAAAACACAAAATTGCAGTTCCATGCATACATTAGCGCCAGAAATATGCAAATTCAGTGATTGGCAATGTGGTCCGGAATGGATGCACGTTAGAATTTCTGCTTGTAGTGTTGTTTAAAGTGAACGCAGTTTCTGAGAATGATCAGTATTCAGTAATTATGGTTCAAAAGCATCATTTAAGTGAAGGTAAAAACTGGCGAATAGTAGGTAGAATCGAGGGAGGTCAAACACAAGTGAAAGTTGATCAAGATTTGAATATCCCTCAGAATGTCATATCAAGAGTTTGGAGCTGCTTTTTAAGCATTGGTTCAATTGACAGATAGGCTGACCAAGGGCAACCAAGAGGAACACTGCATCAGAAGACCATTTCCTGTCATTGTCAGCTTGAAGAACCAATGATGCGAATATGAGGGATTGGCGTTTAGACCTTCATGCTACGCTGGAACTTGAATTAGCAGTTCTACTGCTGCATGAAGGCTTAACGAGGATGGAATGCATGCAAGAAAATTAATGGTCATTCCAAAGCAATATCTTCGTGGTATTCCCTGGACTCTGGTTTCCCTGTGATGTCAGACATTTAGACTTGATGCATGCACTCTATGTCTCTATCTCTGAATGTGCAAACCTTAGTCAGAATGACTTAAATCTGATAAGCATGGTGAATAATAGAGCATCAGTGCTCTATTATTCACCATGCAATTTCCGAATGTGCAAACCTTAATCATAATGACTTAAATCTGATAAGCATGGTGAATAATAGAGCATCAGTGAACAAACATATCAGCCACAGGTTTCACTATATGCACCTACGCATTGCCTCAAAAAATGATGGGAAAAATCCCAAAAAAGTGTCACTGCTCGTCACAGTTCCAAAAATTAACAGTAGTGCTTCATACTGTTAATTTTTATGATATGAAGAGATCACAGTTATCCATACGAATCACCACAACCTTCACACTGCTGGAGGTTTGATGGCTTTTCATTTTTGCGATAACTCGTAATAACGCCACCTATTTCAATGCCATTTCAGTTTTAGCTTGTAATATGATCTAGATCAGATGTTGTGAACCGGTGGTATGCAAAGAATAAAAAGATTTTTAACTATTAAATTAAAAAATTAAAACTCCAAAAGCCTGATTGAGTTTTTTCTCCAACACTCGTAAATTTATGTGATCTAAGCTTTGTTCAAGAGTGGTGGTGGTAATAGTACTTTGTAGTGGTGGTACTAAAGGTTTTAAATTTTTTGTTTAGATGGTATGCGTTAGTCGAAAGGTTGAGAACTGCTGAACTAGACTACATCTCATCTGGCCTAATGATACAATATAAGAAAGCCTTTGCTTTGTGCTCATAGCGGATATGAGTAGCACCTAACTCACAGCCCTCTCTGCATTTCCAAAAGCTCCCCTAGTTCTGTTTCAAGAACAACATGGCTGTACAACTTCAGACACCAACTTGCAAAAAATTCTGACAACAGCATATGCATGCAACACTGGAAGAGAAAATCCATTTATTTTGAGATAGGTCAGGTATTGATTAAAAATGTAATATAAAAAACATTCATTTTATGCTACCAGTGTTTTAATGTTTCAATCCATATATAAATTTATAATAACAATTCTTCTGAAAAAAGGATAATTTATCTCACTCATATAAAATAAAATTTCAGTAGAAAATAGAAAAGAAATTTAAGCATTTAACATGAAAAAGGTGGTCTAAAATTGAACAATTTATAAATAACACTAATAAACAGTGGCATAAAAGTAACATATAACTTCTCAATCAAAAATGATAATTATTTACCTGGTTTGTAACAAAGGAGATCAGGCCTATTCATAGACTTTTTATAACATAAATAAACATCAGAACCGAGCTGAAAGATGTAGGAAAAAAAAAAAAAAAAAAGACTTTATATAGCATTCAGCACAAATCAACCAGTAAATAAAGGTTGAATTACAACAAAATAATTATTAAAATTAAAATTTTTTAAAACTTTTATTATACTTACCACCCCTTTATTTAAATTCTTATTAATTTTACAAAATGCATGAGGTGGATTTTCTCCCTAAGTAGGAATAAATGCAAGTCAGTCTCTGACAGTTTGTAAGAAAAGAAAATTATATGCTTAACTTGAGTATCTGATTTAATGTACAATCAAAATAGTATTTACAATGTTTACAATTTGTTATATCAACAATATTAATTCAGGCCATCTATAATAAGTTACATTCATTTTAACAAGCATTTTATTTTCTACTTTTTAAAGTAACTTTAATTAAAAAAGCTCATACTTAAAAATATTGTGTTCATTTCTTAGCAAATTTTCTTTCTATTACTCCCTCTTTAAATAATAATAATAAAAAAAATAATAAAGTAATAGTTTTGGGTTACATCTGAAATTTTCTTAACAACCAAACACCACCAATTATATTCACTTTTGTTCAACACTTTACCAAAGTAGTTGAGAAAACTTAGCTTTACCGAAAAAAATCTTTGAAGAATTTGCAAGCTGTATATGAAAAGGGAAGATGTAAATTAAAAATAGGTTAGTAAAAAGAAATTATAAAACAACTGCTTCGAGCAGAAAATTACTGCAGTCATAATTGCATCAAAAAGATTTTTTTCTTGCAAAGTGTTTCATCAAATAAACTAAGATATGCACCTAAGTGATACTATGCCGCCTTTTATTTTGCCACTTTGCACAACATACAGCCGTTGTGCTTTGAATGTGTCTTCAAAGCTTCAAAGCAGGATTAATAAAGCTGCATTTGTAATTGATTGTCTGATTAATATATGCAATTTCTTCAAACTATTGTGTTGAATAGCCACCCCAACCCAGAAATCTCTAAATATTATCAAGCTCTCTGCTGCACTGTCTGTAACTATTTACAGTAAACTTTTTACATTCTAGTTTTATTCCCTTTTTAAGAAACTCTGTTTTGTTGCAAATACTGCAAGTTCTTTAGCTAAATAAATCAAGTTCTTTAGCTAAATAAATAAGCTTTCATCTATGTGTCCAATCTTATTTTTTCCCTCTTACTTTGCAATTTTTCCTTGTCCAATAGAATAAAAATAATTTCATACAGACAATTAACCAATTAGCATTCCTAGAGACAAATCAAGTTCTCTTTCTCAGTATTTGATAGGTATAATTTCAAAAGGTACTCGCGTAATGCAACCACCTTGACCACATTTGGTAATTTTTTGCAGATGAAAAGGCAAAAAGTTACTTATCAAATAACATTCGGTTGTTTTTGCACCATTTATCAAATTTTCTTAACTATCAATATCTATCATAAGTTGGTAAGCATTATCAAAAGAAAACATACTTTAGCAACTTAAAATACAAATTTGAATTATTAAATATGGATTGCACGATACATTAAAAAAATAAAAAACTTACATTCTTCTTTAAATCTTTTTGTATTTTTTCACTGTTCTTTCCCTGAAGTTTTCTCTGATCTGTTTTTTCTTAAAAAAACATTGGAGAATTGCACAAACTCTGCTTCGTGCAATCCTCGGCAATAGCAGCTATCTAGGAAACATTTCTTAGTTGTTCCCTTTAGAAAACTTTCAGCAAAATTCTGTATTCCTGCTGAAATTTTACCACAGTTTCTTCCATTGCTGACAAATTCCACAAGCTCTTATTTTAAAACTAAAAAAGCAAAAAATATCAAGTTTTTTTATAAAAACCACTGGAACTTTGAATACAACAAAAAAGAATGGTAACGAAAATGGCGGTATTGCTTGACTGATGTTATAAGCATGGTTGCCAAAAGAATGGTCATGTGCATGGCTGCCAGAGTTTGGCATATTCTGAAAATTTGGCAACTTCTACTAAGGTGGTTGCATTAATACGTAAGTACCTTTCAAAATGTCAACTGCAAATGAATCACAAAATGGTCAAAAAAGAATATTTTACAACCCAATTTTTCACACTAAGGCTGACTTCTTCTTAACACAAGGTCCCACATGCTACACTGCAACATTTTCCATTAACTAAACAAACTTCATCATATGGATAATTCTACAAGTTTTTGAATTAGAAAGGGTACCATCCTCCTGAAAAACACTAACATCTGGATTCATCAGTGCCAATTTTTTTTTTTTTTTTTTTTTAATTTGGTCTTCATTCTTTAAATTTTCTTGGTCATCATTATTAAATACTTATTCAAGTAACTGCTGAAAAGTAGCACGTGTAAATAATGTGCTCAATGATCACACTTTCTGAGAAAGAGAAAAAGATTACAAAACACATGTAAATGGCAACAGGGATGTCTGGTTTGTTGCCAAAAAAATGTTACTGGAGATAACCAAAAATAACATGAGAAGCTATATGTTTAGTATGAAAGTAGTTCACACTCCTTAAATAATGCTGAGCTCTTACACTACTCATTGTTACCCAGAGACCACAATGAGTAATCCAAGAACAAAACAAATATCAATGTAAAATAATACTTCAAGTGTTAAAATATGGTATTAATTGTAAACTGTAATATTATATGAATTTAGGAAAAAAAATCTATATTCATGTAGAGTCAAATTCTTTGAAGCTAATTCAACATTAGCACTGACACATAAAAGCTATATAAAAAATAGAAAAAGCTGATTAAAGGTTTAAGCATAATGTCATCTAAAAATGACAAAATTAATTCATTTTATATTAAGTTTTGTTTCTTAGGGAAAATCATCTTCAAACTCAAAGGACTTTTAACTCATTAATTTTTCCAAATTTCAAACACAGTTTCAAAATCAACACATTATTTTATACTTACAGCAGATTTCATTTTATCCAACTATAAAATGTTGCTTAGTTATATAACATGAGATACATTAGATAATATACACTTAAAGGTTTACTTGTTTAATATGTTTCAGGGCTAAAAGATAAAATATATGCAAATGAAAATACTACAATTTTCAATGGACCCTTAAATCCCTTTTTAATTTGGCTATTATCCCTTTATGTTTAAAAATGGTAACTGCTTATATAGAAATTGCTCTGAGCTGCATCATTTCAATGTTAATTCCTCATACAATTTTTGATAACGCTAATGGTGCAGGCAACTTCATAATGCTTCATCCAATACAATTTCAAATTTGGAAAGGAAAACTTATAATTAGGGAATGTAAAAAAAATCTCAAATGAAACTAAATTATTCTGAACTAAACTTTTAACTTGAAAACATCATATTTGCTCTTTGCTTATCGCTCTAGCTAGACTGTCATTACCACTAATCTTCTTATTCGAACATTTTTTAAAATGCAAAATCCATTCAAGAATGGGTGTGCTTGGCACCAATTTATTACTGACATATCAAGAATGTTTACTTACAACAAAACTAATGTGTTTCAACATATAAAAGAATTATTCTACTGGCTATACCTGCAAGTACCTCATCCTTTTAAAAATTATTAGTTTTCCTACAGTATTATTTATAGACATGTATATCTAATGGCTAGGACCAATATAATATATCCACATTACATTATCAATGACAAAATCCCCCATTCTAATATACATACATACAAATAAAACTTCCATGTTAAACAATCTTCTGTTTGCTTTATTTGAATTTCTCAAAACCTAATAAACTGCAATGGCAAATGTAGTCTTTGCAAAATACTGGATATCAAGCATTTCTCACAAAACTCTTACTTTTGTTAAAACAAGGTAAAATATTCTTCAACATACTTTTATTTTTCCTGTCAATTAATATAATGATTAACAGAGATATTATAATACTAATAAGCATGTAAGTTAAAATCTCCGATAAAGATTTTAAGAACTACAATGTCTTTTTGGAGCAAGGATGATTAAAATCCATGAACACAAATCCATTTAAGGGCTTGCAAGGGATGGGGTACAAAATTCTTGGAGTGTGTGAATTTGATCAAAAGCAGGGCAAAGACATTGTGTCATCACTAATTCTTATGGCCTAAAACCAATAAAATTTCTATTTTAAACAATCTTCTATTTGCTTTACTTGAATTTCTCAAAACCTAATAGACTGCAATGGCAAATGTAGTCTTTGCAAAATACATTTTTATTTCTCATGTCTATTTACAACATTAATAACTGTTTCAACATTGTAAAACTGCTTTACATTAACAGCTTTGCTTAGTATTCTATACCACTTAAAATAATTCGTGCCATCAAAAATTCTACAAAGTTAATAATTTTCACGTTCAATGAAACATTAAATTCTAAACTTTAGAATGTTGCACAGAATTACAGTCAAATTTCTATAAACACACAATTCATTTCAGCAACTGGTTTCTGAATCCCTGAGCCTTGAAGAAGAAGACAATGCATTCCCGTTTTACAGACACTCCATGATGATTTGATTTTCTTCAAACAAGAAGCTTGATTATGTAACATATATCACTTACTTTTTCTGCTTCATAAATCCTTTATTCTTAACATATTTAATTTTCAACTGAATTTCTATTCTTTTTACACATACTTTAGCTGTCTTTAAGATAATAGTAAACTTTCATTTAAAACTGTACAGAATAACATTGCTTCCTATTTAGAATCCTGACAAACATCCCTTTTTTTTAAATTTTCAGTATGACAGATTTATTTTAACTTCCATATATTATTTGAAAACATAAAAACAGCTACGGATACATCTTAATTATTTACCTCAAACATATCTCAAGAAATACTTTGCGAGACCTTTTGAATTTTCGAACTTTTAATGCCTTTTTTGATTTTGTTCATTGAAATTTACCAGCATGTATGTAAATACAGTGGTTGCTACATAAACAGAATAATTGTTACTAATATTTAAATGCTTCTAAAATATACCTAATTATTTCCCTTTAATAATTTCCTTTCCCAGTTTTTCTAAAGTTTTATTTCTTTCTCCTTTTCTTTTACAATTTTGGCTACTATATTAATTTACCAATTCCATTGCTTGTTCAACCTTAATTACCAACTTTAACGTTTTACACTTAATTTACCATAAACTTAACAGCAACGATTCTCATATAATATTATTAAAAAATACAGTTCTAAATAAGACAGATAAGTAGATGCAATAGGTAAGTTTAACAGAATTTTTTGAAGCAAACTGGAACTTTTGTTTTTACACGTATCTTTTAAAAATCAATTTTTACATCTCAAGTGGAAAACATAAAATACAAAATGTGCAGTTTATTACCTTATTTGCTAAAATAACACATATATCTGTGACAACTAGTTGGTTACAAGGTGCATTTTCAGCTGCTCTGCGATATGTAATAAATGTTTTGGAACCACTATTATTTACATTGGCTGAGCGACCATACGGAGTGGTCAGGACCACTTCACTGTCAGCCATAACTTTTTCCTTACCATCATAGAGAACACTGAAATGATTGAAATAAAAATATTCATATAATTACAAAACTTTGCTAAAGATGAAAAACAATAAAAAAGTATCTAGTGCTATCTAGATTTTTAAGTTTATTTAAAGATACTCACACAGCAAACAAGATGTTTTCAAGCAAATTTAATGGCTGATACTCAAATTAAGAACAGAAGTCTAAGATGGTCAAAAAAGATCATCTATAACTTATTTCAATATATTATTAGCAACAGAATTAATTCTACATGGACAGCATTCCATACTGTTTCTTTTAAATAAAGTAAAATTCTACAAAGTTAATAATTTTCACATTTTTTTTTTTTTTAATTTGGAAATTACGATTCTTAAAAAAAAAAAAGAAAGAAAAAGAAAAAAGAAACATCCTACAAAATCAAACATTTGTTTACCATGAACAAAAAATTCAATAAATTTAATGCTGAAGCTCTAAATTTTTAATCTTGCTATTATACAACAAAATATATTTTCAGAATGGATTTTAATCTATAAATAAATAAAATAAAAAGTAACTTACACAGCTAGCAAAATTTACCAGACAGAAAAACTTACATGCTCAATAAGAGTTTCTCTAACAAACTAAATGGTAAGTATTTAAAAAAAATGTCCAAGATGTGCAACAAGATCCTTTAATTTATCTAAATATAATGCCAACCAGTCTCTACAATTAAACATTGTAACTGCTCCTGATACTATAAACTATGGTTTAGCTATGACATTAGGATGGCCTCTGGTGAACAGGCAGTGAAAAATTTCAGTAAAGGCCAAGTCACGAACCTGTTGGGTGGTATCTAACATGGGTTATTTAACATGTTAGGTGGTATCTAACCCATCTAACATGACCCCCTATAAGTGATGCCCAACGTTAATGTTTAAGAATTTTCGCTTGGCCTTTGCTCATTATTTTCTCTTTCAGAATGAGAAGTTAAATCCACACTCAATGGAAACCTCCAATACCCACCACTGAATAAAACTTTGGGTAATGTCTGAAAATATCCTCGCCCATCAGGTACGAGTATTATTTTTTTCTGCCGCTCTGATGACTTGATATCATTTGTTTCCATTTAAAAATTAACATTCTATAATGTTTTTACCTCTTAATGTTGAAAATATGAAAATATTTAAATGTTAACATGTGTTCCTAAAGTATATATATAAAAGCATAGATATATACATGTGTGTCTGTGTGCTTTTTATGAATATTATGTGATTTTTTGAGAAATTCTTTGATTTTCGTTTACACATAATGCACGCATGAGAAGAACAATATATTCATAATATTCACTTTTTTGTTTAGAAATAATATGTGTATATGTGCAATATATTAAAAGCGAGGCATTTTAGAAGTACACTGTTGCATCAGAAACTGTTATATACAAGTCCAAGTTCTGCTGCTTGCCGTTGATTATCGTGCAAGATTGGGCAACTTGTAATTATGTATAATAAATCTATTCTATCTTAAACTGTGGGTTGCGACCTGCAGCAGGCGGTTGCCAAAAAATTTGGCAGTTTTTATATTTCTTTAACTTATTATAATAATTTTACACAATGTGTCTGAAAATAGATAAATATAAGACAATACAAAAAAAGAAAAAAGGAAAACATTTCGAAGCAATTTTTTTATAATAGAAACATTCATTTTAATTGCTTTGCACATGATGCTGTCATTTCATCTGTTACTTATTTAAAATTTTCACAATGTTCTATGTCTTAAAATTAGAAATTAAAGTTAATGACCTAAAAACTGCAATAGTATATTACAGTATAAGTGAAAAAATTGGCAGTTTTACACACACGTGTGTCGGATTTGTGCAGGTGCTTATGGGGTCCCGCAAAATTTTCGTAAATATTATGGGGTTCTGAGGGTCACGAAAGAATCTCAGTGATAAAAAGGAGTTGGGACTGAAAAAAGTTTAAGAAATCCTGTTATAAAGCATAATTAGTTTTGATTTAATTCATAGTTCTGGCACCAAACCCACTTCACGTGCCAATACACCTAGGCATTTTATGTTTATTAATCTGTGCCTCCATAAAGATTCCTCCCTCACTGATATTTTGTCTTTCATTTCCAGGTAGATTGAAAATTGTTTATATTTGATGATTTAAAGTAGTGTGTGAGTCTACCTTGCAAAATGTTTTTCTTCTAAGGAACAGAATGGTATTATTATTATTTTTTCCATACATTATTTTCATTCAGTGTCATATTTTTTTCATATTAAATTTTGTGGTAAATGGTACTTCATATTGCTTTATTATTTTAAGAACAGAGAAAATCTATTTTATAATTATTTCTGTTGGGTAATCTCTCTATGCATAAAAGTAACTTTAAAAACTCATAAACTATGTATCAAAATCTTGCATAAGTTCTTCAAATTTTGTATTTAACTTTAGTGACATTCTGCAGCACAAACTGACTTTCGTACAAATCAATTATTGGACAACCAAATGACTTTACAGAGCTTTTCTTGGTAAGATGACCTCAATAAGACTTCCTATTTAGTGGCATAATAAAGTTTCCCCCCTCAAAGAATTTACCACAAGTGAAATACATCACCATGTCATTTTATGCTGAAGGAAGAAAACGACTATGAAGTTCACTCTCACCAACAGGATTCAAAGGGACAAAGAGATTCACATGACTCAGGTACACATTCATTGAAAGAAGGTGATTCCACATACCTTTATTTGTAACAGTCACAGCAAAGGGTAACAGAACACTTTTAGAATTAAATTTTCTTGGAAGTGCTGGGATTATTTTAGACCTACTAAATCATTGCTGGTTTTATCACAATAATCCGAAATAGAACTTTAAGTGTATTGATGATGATTTTTAACCCACTCATGGATCCAAATGTATGGTGCCAGTTAGCACTGTACTGTTAAGAAAAGGTGAAGGACAATATCTATCTCCTCATCAAAGATCACAATTCAAGAAACTCCAATTCTTCCTTTTAAAACATGTTCTTGGTTTAAAAGATATATACAAAACTTATTATAATAATTTTACACAATGTATCTGAAAATAGATAAATATAAGAGAATACAAAAGAAAAAAGGAAAACATTTCGAAGCAATTTTTTTTATAATAGAAACATTCATTTTAATTGCTTTGCACATGATGCTGTCATTTCATCTGTTACTTATTTAAACACTTTTAGAATTAAATTTTCTTGGAAGTGCTGGGATTATTTTAGACCTACTAAATCATTGGTGGTTTTATCACAATAATCCGAAATAGAACTTTAAGTGTATTGATGATGATTTTTAACCCACTGAGGGATCCAAATGTATGGTGCCAGTTAGCACTGTACTGTTAAGAAAAGGTGAAGGACAATATCTATCTCCTCATCAAAGATCACAATTCAAGAAACTAAAATTCTTCCTTTTAAAACATGTTCTTGGTTTAGAAGATATATACAAAACTTCGCAGAAATATCACGACCCCTTAGTGATCTAACAAAGAAGAAAGTCCAGTGTGAATGGGGTTTCAACCAGTAAAAAGCATTTGAAACTCTAAATAAACTGCCTCATAACACCTCCCACGTTGAAGAAGACAAATGGAACTCTACCTTATATTCTTCGAACTGATGCAAGCAATTGGATTCTTTGAACTGTTTTACTTCAAGGACAAAGAGCAAAAGGGCACTCTATTGAATATGCCAGCCTACAGCTTTCTGCGGCTGAGCGAAACTATTTGATGACTGAATGAGAAGCCTTCGCTGTCGTCTGGGCCCTGAAGAAGTTTCGTGGGATCATTCATTGAAGGATCACACATAATTGTGGCATCTGATCATTAACCTTCGAAATGGTTTTTTAACCTCAAGTATCTAAAAGAATGACTTGCTAGATGAGCACTTGAAATTCAGTCTTTCAGACTGAAAGTTTAATACATCCGTGGAAAGGCAAACATCATTGCTGACATGCTGTCCTATATCAATTTCTGAATATGAAGTTTCACCTTCCCTGATTTCAAATATATCTGTAGTTGACATGCCCACAAGAAGTCCAAAAGACATGCGCAAATCTCTATTCAAAGATGAAAATTTTAAAAAGATTATCGAAAGTTTCAAATCCACTCAGAAAACTAAAGAACGTGCCAATTGGGCTGAACAGGGATTCTTAACGAATCAAGGTGTTCTCTGCCAATACATGCCTGGTTCTGAATTGGAAGAGGCCCAGTTAGTCATTCCAACTGCCTTCTATGAGATATATCTGACTATGTATATATATCCGACTATATGAAAAGTTGTCCTGAATGCAACTGCTAGAATGCTATCAACCAAAAGCCAACTGGATTACTAAGAGCCCCTGTCTATTCTCAATCTTGTGAGATCATCTCTAAAGACTTGTTTGGCCATTCCCACAAACTGACAATGGAAAACAATGGATTTTCATTGTCAAAGACTGTACTATGTGATGTGTTGAATTATTTCCTCTTGCTCAAGCTACAGCATGTGATTGCGCCATAACCCTCATTGAAGAGATATTCATGTGGCATGGTATAATAGGAAGAATCATCAGCGATAATGGATTCCAATTTATTAGGGCCATCTAACAGCAAGTTTTAATATTATTAATTTAATATTAGTAAATATTAATCAAAACTTAATACCAGTTTACTTTTCTCAATCAAACCCTGAAGAATGAAAAAACAGAGACCTAAAACCTCATCTTGCAATCCCTGTACGAGATATGCATGGCAACTGGCATTCAAAACTCCCAGTTCTTTGTTTTGCCATGAATATGGCCATCTGTGACACTAGAGGCCATACACGAGAATTCCTAATGTTTGGAAAAGATCTGATGACTGTCAGGATGACATACACGATTTCAAGGCTGTGGTAAAAAACAATGATAATGAATGTGATGTCTTAAATAATTCGCAACTATTACAAAGGACATACAAGAACACATCGAAACAAAGCAAGATCAACATAAAAGGCAATATGACAAAGGATGATGACAAGTGTTTTATTCACGAGGTGATAAAGTTACAAACAGGATGCAAAGTTTTTTGCATCCCATTAGCAATGCAAAAAACAAGAAGACTCCAGGCACTCACTGGAAACCTCTAGCAGGTTAAAGGCTTGCTGAATTCGCCATCGGAGCTGTTTCGCCTTGCACAACCATGAATATCTGGATATATAGCTCCACCACAACCAACAGAACGAACAAGACAGTACCATACGGTCCCTGCTGAGCCTGAAACAGCCATCATCAGCGATGACTTCAGTCCTGCGGAGACTGAATTTAAACACCCATGGCTGAGGCTACCTAGGTATAGATCTTAATCAGTAACTTCCCGGGTTTTACCAGAGTCGATCCCCGGAGGGACATTCAAATAAGATAAGAATTTTCTTGTTCAGACAGACAGAGAGACGAACTGCTTGCTTTAATGATTGCCCGGCGCCTTTTTGACTCAGCGCACCTATTGTCGGCGTGGGCTTGATCATCAGAGAAACTTTTATTATCCTACTATGTTGGCAACATTGAAATGACAGAGTGACTATGTGGGTCATCTTAAACAAATAATGGTACTCTTCAGTTATCGGTGGACCGGATTCAGAAATGCATGTGTGCATATATGTGTGTGCATAGAGATAGACTCACATATATATGCATGCACACATGTACACATACATATGTATGTAAGTACTTATATACATGCATACATGCACACACACACACACACACATGTGGTACATACATACGTTTTTTAATCTTGTTCTGATAGCAGCCCCAAATAATTGTAAAGAATATAAGAGAAAAAACATTTACGATGCTGCTCCATCACCTTGCTGATTTGTGATTATGATCTGTCAGCAATGGGGATAAAGTTTTGGCAATGTTCAGAGACACCAAAACAGTGTTTCTGTCAATAAAAAGTAGAGATGGTTAACAGTGTTATTTTATATCTAATTATAGCAGTAAAATGATGACTTTTGACAAACATTAAATATGGCTGCCTCAACTGGCAGATGCCACATGAAGTACTTTTTTATACAATGTAAGACAAATGTATAAGTATAATGACAAATACTGAAGGATATGCTAGGTCCTTTTCAGGACTACATCAGAGCATTCTTCAGGTAATAATGTATAATATAATAATTTTGTAATGTAATAAATTTTCCAGTAATGTAATAAAAGTGAGTACATATACTTTATTTGTTATTTATCTATTTACTTATTTACATAATGTTGCTTTTTATATGGTTTAGTACGCTAATTATATTAGTTTTTTTTCTTGGTTTTCATCATGATTCACCAGCAACAGGTCACCAGATGAGTGTCAGGTTAACTATTATGAGAATACCAAAAGTTTTACAAGGGGGAAGAAAAGATAGGACTTATGAACTCAAACACATTTACTTGATATGCTGAAATTGTTCTACTACGTAATTAATATACTTAAATATAATGCCTTCATGTAAAATTAGGTAAATCCATAAAAATTAAGCAACTGACTATCTTACTGCCTTTTTTAAATGCTGGATTTAAACCACTGGTTTTCAAACTTTATCAACTCTGGGAACCCATGAAACTATATTTGGGAGAAAGGGGGGGGGAAGAATCGTTACCTGTATGAAAGTAAATGTTAAAAATGCTTCAAAAATACATTACTTTAGTAGTATACACTGTACGTAGAAAATCGTGACCATATTCATGGTTTTCATTTTTATTCAAACAGTATCTATAGAATTCTTTTAATTAATTATTTTAGATGTTCAGCTCTGCAGTCCACATAGTTTTCAAAAATATTCCCCCGCCCCTTGAATTAAATGGAATTTTTTAAAGAATTGCATGGAGGCCCAAGCTTCTGCAAAACATAATCTGAAGACTACCGGATTAAACATATAAGTATTTTCGGAAGCACATTTTAATAAATTACAAAACCATGTACTGCCTGCTATTCAAGCCAATATGGTATGCAGGATTATGATTCATATTTTGTTTATCATTTAATATTTTCACAGAAAATATTAAACGATAAACAATGATTTAAATATAATTACATTATACACTTCGTAAAAAATTTTCGCAATATTTATACATTTTCAAACAAATATTTATATATGTTTTAAACAGAAAGAAACAAAAATTATTACACTTTAGATGAACATGAATTGAACATTACACTAAATAAGTCTCAATGTTTTTTCACAAAACTGACCCAGAACAAACATAAGAAACACAGATTACTTACCCGACATCCACCAAAGGTGGCTTATCCCTTCCTCGTTTGTAACAAAAATATATGTTAGGACTTCGTAAGCTCCCATGATTTAAATCTGCAGTAAAGTTAAAAGGAGTATATTCTATACAAGTATATCCTTTAGGTACAATCTCCCCTTGGCTACGTATTATCACTGTTATGTCTGTAATGGGAACTAAAGGATGTGTTGTTTTCGGGCTTATTCCATCTCGAGAAAACTCATCTAATTTTGAAGGATTATCCGGAAGCCCAGCGACAACAAAGTAATCAGCTACTCTTTTATCGTCCATTCTTCACAGCCAACATCCTGGGTATTAAATGTTTTGTGGAAGCTTACCTAAAAAGAATGAATTTTAATTAAGGAGTCTATTTTTAAAAAGAATGTTAAAAGAATTACTCAAAGTGGGCACCAGTTTTCATACAATAAAGAAGTGTCCAGTGAATTAGATATTTATTCACTGATAAGACAGAAAAAATTCATTAAAATGGTTTTGACTAAAACTTTAAAGATCACTTATTATTTTGGTACTTTCTGATTATCTACACCTGCATCAAAAAGTTGCAAAAAAGTATTAATGAGGAAATGCACTATATTGCCAAAAAGTATTCATGTGGCAACGTACACGTGAAAGTACCACACCAGTTTGAGTACACATGGAATTGCACTTTTGAAATTAAATGTGTAACAGAACTATTTAAGTATAATTGAACTATTTTATTCAACGCCATGAACTCATGAACTGTAACCGAACTATTTTTTTTAAATGCCATCTCCTGGCGATATGAAAAAACGTCAGTCGACCTCCAGCCACCATGATGATAGTTTACTGTTATTCTAATGTTTGATGTTCCATTTGGTACATGTTTCATTTTATGTATATTTCTTTTGTTTGTAACCATTCCTGTGTGCTCTGTTAATAAATCCTTTTAAAGCTAGCCGGCATCAGTGTTTATTGAGGAAAGGCTATATCACATTGGCGCCCAACGTAGCAGTTCCTCAATAAACATTAATGCCGTTCTATAAACATTAATGCCAATGTAGCCGTTCCTCAATAAACACTAATGCTGGCTAGCTTTAAAAGGATTTATTAACAGAGCACACAGGAACGGTTACAAATGATAATTTTTCTGATTAGAGTTTTTTCTTTTTTTTTAATCAAGTACATTTAATTTTATCATAACAAATGGTAACAGGATTATTAAGTTTGCCCTCTTTTACTTTCATTACATTAGCATGTACAATGAAGTTTCAAAAAAATTACAGAAGGTTTTTTAGAAAAGATATACATTTTACATTTTTTATGAATGTAGAAAAAATAGACAGTACTAGATTGATTATTGAAACAGATGTAAAGATACTGAAATGTTTCTCTCCAGAGTCACCAATGAGGTCATAACTTTTCAGTGGGGGTGCAAAAAATCAGAAAATATAATTATTTTCATTAAAAGTTCTAAAGTTTTCATTCAACTGCATGGATCATTTGCTGCATCATTAATTTATTTCAAAATGTATCAAGTTCTATCCAGAGCGAGATTTAGACTTGATAAGGCCCTAAGCTACTTAAGATATGGAGCCCTTATTTAAGTCTGTTATAATATATTTTAATACTATTTATAATATTAATTAGGGGGCTCAAGAAAGTGATGGTCCTATACTATAGCTTGTGTAGCTTAATGTAAATCCAGCCCTGTTTCTAACAACAGCTTTTAAAACAGCTCATTTTATCAAAAATAATACGAAAAGGTATTTGGGCATCACCCAACACTGCCAATAATCTTACCTACAAGTGCTTTACAGTAAGCACTAGCAATCCTATGAAGTGTTCTGGATTCTTCTGAAAAGAAGTTATTTTTTTCCTTTGAGGTATTTTCAGAGGTGTAAAAGAATATGTGTATTGCTTTTATTATTTCAATGTCAGCTTCAAACTCATTATACTAAGTGCATATATATGTAGCACTATATTTAAACAATCATTTTCCCATGCAATTGTTTCTAAAACAACATTTTTACATTTATACTATATTTGATGAGAAATGAAGAAGAAATCCATTATTTCCAGGTACAAAGTATTTTGTCAAAAAGTCTCAAATGTTCTAGTTCCCATGCAAGGAAATTGTATATGGAATTAAAGTACAATGGAATATACAATACAAATGTAATGTTAACTGTTGACAAAGTGTTAGAATAAAAACTAGAAACTCATCTGTAGAAAGTCACTTGCCTTCTTATTCAGCCCAGATCATGTGGAGACAGAGATAAGCTACAAAAAATAACAATCCATCTGATGCGATTTCTAGACAAAAACCTGACAGGAATTGAGAAAACAAATTTAATGATCTGCTGACAGTAAAAATATATTTCACCACCAGTTTAACTGTTGGCTATGACATACCAAGTTATAGATACTTCAGTACTGGTTAATACCCCAGCATCCACAACTGTTCAGTTACAAAATACAGATCATATTATTATCGAAAGTTACTTTATAATCTATATAAATAAACATTCACCGTTCAAACCAAACCATTCTCTCAGTTTGATAATGGAATTAATTTATCAAAATCTTTGCATAATACATGATTTTATTGTAATGTTAGATGACCTGCAACTGCAGCTGTCAGATCAAAGATTTGGTTTATATCAATATGCAAACGGGACATTAAAAAACTGCTGTGCTCACAAAATTGTATCATCATCCATGGCACGACACCCAGGGCCTTCTGAACTACACAATTCTAACCACCACAACTAGCATCCAAACTTCTCCAATTATTAGTTTTAAGGACAAAACAATCCTCCTCTACAGCACTTATCCATCAAAGTCTAGGTCTTTTTCTTCTTTTTGCGTTATTTGGTACAGCCAAAAATATTTCTTTTAGAATGTTACTGTCGTTCATATGGATAACACGCCCAGCCCAATTGAGAAGGCTTACTTTAATGTAATGAACAACATCTGGCTATTTCAAAATTCCGTATAATTTGGTATTGGGTCTTCTACGCCAGATACCATTTTCTTGAATTCCTCCAAAAAACACTTTTCAAGACTGTGCATTCAAAATTACTAAAGATTCCTTCCTCTTTCATAATAATAGTCCAGGTCTCTGAAGCATAATTTAAGACACAACAGATTATAGTCTTGTAGAATAATAGCTTTGTGTTTCAAGTTAAAAAACCATATCTAAATAAATGGTTTAATCCATAAAAAGCTTTATTAGCCACAAAACTACATCTCTTCATTTCAAGTAGGAAACTTTTTTTTTTTTTTTTTTTTTTTTTTTTAATTTTTTAAAGATAGATCCCAGATAAATGAAAGGTGTAACCGTTTCAAAATTATAATCCCCCAATTAAGAAATGAGTTCAGGTGTAAGTAATATTTCCAATAGTAGTCATATATTTAGTTTTATCTTAGTTTCATTTTTCATTTATTTTTACCAATTTTATCAGTTTTAAAGGAATATTAAAATCATGCTTCACTCTTAGTAATTTGTTGCAGTCAATGGAACCATATACCACTTTGTAACAATAAACAAGAGATGCAAATCAATATTATATCATGGGATCTCTCAATAATTTATCTAAGGCCTAAGATATAGCCCACAGTGGATTTACCTGTACAGAATCCACATTGACAGTCACCAATAATTTAATTTACGTAAGGAGCAAATCTCTTGTACAGTAATTTGAAAAAAGCTTTGTAGAAATGCACAGTAAACTTATCCTTCTACAGTGGTGGCCAAAATTGTGGACACTTTTGGAAATTTTTATGTTTTTGAACTTTGTATGCTTATAGAAAACGTTACGTTTCACAAAATGCAAACTTGTATATATCATTTTAAAGAGAATTTATTACTGAATTCAATACAAAACACAAAATTCAATTATTTGCAATACAAAAAAAGTTAAATGATAATAGTTATCGATATACATTAGATAGTGATGATTGCAGTGAGTTATCAGTACTTAGTAGGGTACCTTTATTTTTTATTACAGCTTCACATCGACGTTTCATTGAGCTGAGAAGAGTTTTAAGCTCTTCTTTCGTTATTACATGATGCCAGGAAACAATTATAGCCTCAATTAGTTCCCTTTTATTTGATGGGCGCCTCATTCGGACAAGAGTTTTCAAACGGTGCCACAAATTTTCGATAGGATTGAGGTAAGGACTTTTTCCTGGCCATGACAACAATTTAATGCTCTTTGTACAAAACCACTCTTTCGATATTTTGGCCGTGTGGCAAGGAGCAGAATCCTGCTGAAAAATAAACGAAGCATTGTTGATAAAGAGATCTCCGCTGGAAGGTAGAAGTTTTGGTTCTAGAATAGTGTCAATGTATTTTCTGGCATTCAGTGTCCCATCGATGACATGAAGGCGACCAATACCATCAGCTGACATACATGACCAAATCATAACACTAACTGGGTTCCTCACAGTTGCTTGAATGCAGTCAGGATGTTGCTCTTCTCCTATTCTACGTCTTACATATTTTTGCCCATCACTACCGAATAACGATATTTTAGTTTCATCACTCCATATAACTTGTGACCACTGATCATCTGTCCAATTAATGTGTTCCTTTGCCCACTGTAGTCTTTTTTTTTTTTTCATTGTTGAAAATTAAGATAAGGCTTTTTTTTCGTGGAATTCTACCTCTCAGTCCAACATCTGTTAATCTTCTCTGATTGTTCTTGAACTGACAGAGACACCAGCAGAATCATTCAGATCACTTCTGATAGCCGCTGATGACATTTTTCTATCTTGGAGACATAGTCTTTTATTCTTCTGTCTGTCAATAGATGTGGTGCACTTTTTTTTCGGCCTTTTCCTTCTTTGTTTTTTTATTAAATTTGTCTCCTGATATCGTAAACAAAACTTTCGGACTCCAGATGTAGTCATTGGACCACCCACCTGTCTTGCAATTTCAGCATAGGAAAGACCACTTTCTCGTAACACAATAATATTACATCTCTTTCTAGGTGTCCAATCTACTCTTTTATTTGATGTCATTCTTCTTGACTAAATATTAAAAATTTTTACAAAAATTCCTACTTGTAATTGCAGTGTATAAGAAACAGGTCCTCCTTCTACAGAACAAAGCAAAATAATGAATTGTTTCAAGTGTAAGCATGATGTCAAATTCTACTGGCAGTTACTAACATTTGATTGGTTCTCAGAACAAGAACAGTGATTGGCCAGGAAAGCTAGACATTACAAACCACTTCATAACTGTGTTTTTTATTTATATTAAAGTACATATAACTTTTTTTGTATTGCAAATAAATGAATTTTGTGTAATACAATTTTGCATTTTGCGAAACGTAACATTTTCTATAAGCATACAAAGTTCAAAAACATAAAAATTTCCAAAAGTGTCCACAATTTTGGCCACCACTGTATAATTTTCATAAACCAAAGAATCTCCTTTGTAGATCAGGCATACAACCCCTATGTACCAATCCTCTGGCATCTTCTCAACCAAATATTTTCAATTATTCTATGGAAAAACTCCATAGCTGTTGGTCCTCCATATTTTTGAAGCTCTGCCTGTAAGAGATTGATTGCAAGTGCTTTGTAGTTTTTAAACTTCTTGACAATCTTAGATACTATTTCCTGCAAATTTAACGATGCCAATTCAATGGAATCAGCCAAGCTATCTTCCTGTGTAATGGCAAAAGAATTTGAATTTTTACTAACTTTTAATAAGTACTCAAAATGCTTGATCCATCTTTCCAAAATTTGAGAGTTTTCACTAAGGGTATCACCTGTTTTATTTCTACAAAAAGTCTCTTTGATAGCATCTGACCTCCTAACAGAATGCACAGCACTCAATGATCTTCTTCAGGTGTTCAACATCCTTGAATCTATTTTCTTCAAAAGCTCTTCTCTTAGCCCTAAGAATTTAATTTTCATTTTCCCATATCTCATGGTATTCTTCTCCAATATTTCTAGTACTATATTGTAATGTTCTTTTTTGTTATTTTGAGAGCCTACATTCTTCATCAAAGCAAACTCTACTTTTCCGAGCTCTATGGCCCAAAACTAAACCTGCAGGATAAGGTTTTGGATAAGGTTGTTCTAAAACTATAGGTCTTCAAGATCAAAGTGTCAGTTTTCACTTATGAAATACTCCTCTTCAAAATCTCTCTGCAAGTTCTAGCCACTTCTTCCTCTTTAAGCTGATTACAATCAAACCTTTGTAGTTTCTAAAGTCATCTTTATTAGAATTTGATATTTTTTCTCTTATTCTAGCTGAAAATAAAAAGTGATTAGAATCCCTATTAGCTCCTATAAAAGCGTCAATCAAGTTTGTGCATTTAAATGGCGATACCAGTATATAGATTCTAGTTCAGATAACTTAAGGAAGTTTTTGGATGCTGTTAAGGAATTTTGTTTGACTGAAGACACGGAAATTTGTAAATAAGTGGATATTTCCTTTGTGTAGTCCTAAGATGAATTTCTTTTTTTATGTTATTTCATTGTTTGATTTAAAATGTAGTTTATTGAGATTATATATTGTTTGTCGGCTGCTCCTTTCACTTTTTAAGTGAATATAGATTGATGTGTACATGGACCAAATCAAGGGAGTACACAATGCCTAGTTTGTACAATTCTCTCATTTTTTTAAATGAAAATAGGTTGACTTGTTACTTTGGATTTCTGTAGCAGCGATTTTTGAGTCAAAAATCACTACTACACAAAGCCAAAATAACAAGTCAAAGAACTGCACAAACTCAATGTCCATGTACCGCCAAATATTGCCATTTTTGCCAAGAGGCACCCATAAATATATTTTTACCAACAATGTTTTCACCCAAAATATTATGTAAAGTGAAGTATTTGATTAATTTCATGAACTGATTTATTTTAATTTTACTACTCACTGTTGTGCAGAGTTCGAGTTATGTTGTAATAAAACAACAAAATAATTGAACCACCTTCATTTAATCTTAATTTAATAATTTCTTCTTTTCTGAATTTATTCTCTACTTTTTAATTCTCCCATTCTCATTCTCATGCAATTCATACTATTGCAACTTTCATGTGAATCTGGGGTCTTATTTGTCGTAAAATGCATACCTCTTTTTACCCTAATAAATTAGAGAACAGCATATTTTAACACATACTTTTAAAAAACAATAAGAATAAAAATTTATCAGACTTTCAAAATGGTATCATTTATTTTACTCATACTTTCTTCTATAATTCATTTTATTGAGACTTTGTTTCAACTCGAGGAAACTATGATTTTCATGTAAATAAATTCTAATCACATTAAACATATTTATTTAGAAAAAGGCACATGGCTTCTGCAAATTCTATAATCTTTTAATGTGATAAACTTTAAAAAAAATTAAAAATAATTCCCTCAATATTGTGCTTAAAATTCTTTACATTGCCTAGCACTAAGCCAAGAAATTAACCACTTCCCTTACACATTTTTTTGAAAAAATTGCGAAAAAATCATCACATTTTTTTACTTTATTATTAAATACTAGGAAACGAAACAAAACGAAATATACAGGTTATAAGTTGAATTTTTAATTTTTTACAGGTGTAAAAGCATTTAGTTTTTATATTAGTTTACTATCCCGAGTTATCTCGGGAAAATAAAAAAAATTAAATATTAGTCGTTGTATGAGAGTTTTTGAAACAAGGGATAACACAAAGTGATATCTAACATTCTATACACTGCTATCTGGTCTCTTTTTCTTACTGGCTTACCTCTGGAATCTCTTTTGCGGGAGCACAGAGGACACTGTCTCATTGGATTTGATTTTTTTTCAGTATCAGGAATAACATATGGAAAATGCCTTGAGGTTATAATCACTATCTGAAAAATCATCGCTTTTGCTATCTTGCATCATCGCCATTATTTTACTTTTTTCAACGTAACTATCATTCTTTATACATTACTAATCCACAAGCCGACGTATACTAGACAATAGGGAAAACACGTGACCAGTCCCACCAAAAGAACCGCGAAACCATCAAAACTTGGCGAATTGTCAATAAAAGCTGAATATTTCTTTTCATTTCCTCCAAGTCGAGTGAAACCGTGATAAAACAAATCGTACTGACAAATTCTGCTTTGCCAGAGTTTTCTCGGGATAATAATTAACTGCAATATATACGAACCCGGGATAACTCAGGATAATCAGGCAAGCAGTTAACAAATTGTTAAAATTTAGTTATAGGACAATAATTTAAATATAATCACATTATGAGCACACAAAATACTATGATAGGACGAAATGGGAAAGAATTAGATAAAATATGAAATAGTCTTAAAACATAATGCTCTTTATTACAGTAACCATAAAAAAAATCTTGATTTTATAGAAAAATTAGGCAGATTCCTAAAAAATTGCGTATTCCAAAATAAATAAAAGAATCCAAATCATTATGAAAATAAAATTATAGAAAAAATACTTCACTCTTTAATCAAATTCTGGCAGCTTTCAGATAACTGGCTCTTGGCAATTTGTTGACATCTCAGAAGAGAGTACATGTGCACCAGATTATTGTAAACCTGACAAGGGTTACAACCCTGTAACCCACTCAGAGAATTTTCCTGAAGGACAAAAAGGGATATTTTCTGTTTACATAGGTATAGGGAACGTTACGGTAAGACAAAATAAAAGTTGGAAAATCATAATTAGTTCATATTTTTGCAAATCGTTATTGAGTGTTAATTTCAGTTGAAAAAATAAAGCTCTATTCTGTTTACGGAACATTATGGTAAGACAAAATGAAAGTTGGAAAATTGCAAATCATGTTTTCGCAAATCGTTATCGGGAGTTCATTTCAATTGAAAAAAATAAAGCTCTATTCTTTTTATTCTACCTTTCCTAGTCTATTTATTTCTACCTTTTGTAAAATAAGGTAGTTGCATGACAAAAAAAAAAAAAAAATCGCATATCATAATTAGTTCATATTATCGTAAATCGTTATCGGGAGTTAATTGCAATTGAAAAAATAAAGCTCTATTATATTTATTTCTACCTTTTGTAAAATAAAATACCTGCATGACGTTTCCTACCTCAGATGCTAATTTTATGTAGGGAGGAAGGACTGGAAAGGTACTAACAAAATAAGCTGATTTGATTGAAGTGCCAATTTTGTAACATGTAACTTTTAAATATTGCAAGGCTCTGTCTGCTTTAATAAGGCTGCCTATTTTATTTCACACATTTATACCTGCAGTTAATTTGTATTTGAATTTGTGAATAATTCATAAAATGCTGGTGAACAAAACCTGCATCTAACAAAACCTGCACATAAGAATTGGCTTTAATAAAATAAGTAGCATCAAAGTCTAATAATTTATGCTAATTGCTCTAAAAACCCCATAACTTTCTTCAAAACAGCACTTCAGTTATTAATTGTGTTAACAATGCAGTTGTTCTACATTTTTATACATAGTGCTGTTACTTTCATTCCTTGGTTCAAAAAAGTGAATGGAATTATATATTTTGAAAATTAGTTTGCAGCAATAATTAATCTTTTACTCGTATACAATTAAATTTTTATAATTTAAATTAGCTTTATACGAATGAGAAAATTAGTTAAAATTCTTATGAAATGTATATAATATATAATTATAATCATAATCATATATAATATGAAAAACACATTCTTTATTACTCAATATTTTTAAACAAGTGCATTTTTAGCCACTGGTTCTTTTTAACTAAAATTCATATGCATTGTTTTGTATGCAAAATAAATAGGTATTCTTCTGTTATCAGGAAGAGATTTAGAATTATGTATATATGGATGTATGTATGTATGCATGTGTATGTGCATACATGCATACATGCATATATATATATACATGCATACATATGTACATTTCTGATTACTGGGAATCTGACATCAGAACTTTCATTTGCACCTATCACATAACTTCAGAGATATAACTGTATTATATTTTAGTATTCTTGTATTAAATATTTTTCAAAACATAAAATAATGAACATCAAACTGATCAACCCACACAATACAAATACCAAAACTTCACTATAAAACATTATTTGGATCCAGTGGCGGCTCGTGGCTAAAATTAGTGGGGGTTCTGTTCCAAAAAAATTTGTCTAAAAGGACTAGATTATTTAAATAATGACAAAGCACACGAGGGCTATCTGCCTAAAGGGATGGATGCCTTCATGCAAGACTTTCTAAGGGAAACTGGCTCGTATACACATTACACATGGGTAAAACCACGAAAACGCCCATGCAGCCAACCCGTTAGCGGGATTCGAACCTCGGACCGAACTAGCAGAGCTCAGCGTCTTTACCGCTCGGCCGCTGGTGGGCACAATTGTCTGAAAGGAAACAAACATGTATAGAAAGAAAATTTATTTTGAAACTACATGAAATCTTACAAGAAAAATATTAAACATTTCCTAATTACTTTAACCAAAATTGTTACAGTTCAATCTTGTTTTTCATTTAAAAATGAAATCCATTCTTCTTGTTTTAATTTCCTCGAAAAGATCAATAATTTTCTCCTTGATCTCTGGATGAGAACTGAGGAAATTTTTCTTTATTGAAAGCAATGCAAGCGCATTTAATCTTTCTGAATTCCTAGTGCTTCTTAGAAAATTTTTCATTCTTTTCAATGTTGAAAAGCAGCATTCTGCCTCTGATGTAGCCATGAGAACTCGTAAGAGAATTTTTATCTGTTTCGTAATTTCACTAAGAACATATCTAGATTATTTTTGAAGATAAATTTCAGTAGCTCAATTAATTTGCAGTATTCATGGATATCAGACCCACAACAGAATACTTTTAGTTCGGTTTCAAGCTTTTCTTTGTAAATCATTGGATATGCTTCAGTGGTCAGTACTACTTTTTCTGTAGAATGTTCATTCCTAAAACTTGCAAAGCATTTCTTGTTTAAAAACTGCTAAGTGTTTAGTGGTAGAATATCTGTGCATTATATCAATACATAGTATAAAGTCACATATTTCCTTAGCTTCTGCATTCAGTCTCTTTGAAAAATTCTCACAGTATTTTGAGTTTCTTAATTCTAAAATAGCAGTTTTGAAATATGTTATATATTCCTTAACTTTAAACACACTAATTTCTCTGGATTGCATTTAGTTGTATATTATTTCAACATGAGGTATCTGATAAAAAAAACTCTAAGCAAAACTTGAAATTATCATCATTTAGATATTTTAAAATTCCTGTTGCTTTTGCAATAGTTTGATCTGCATTTGACGTTGACTGAATTTCAGTAAGGCAATTTTTTAAAGGTTGAAAATTTTCATCAACTCTGTTTATGGTTCGTATGGTGAAGTTCCACCTTGTGGAGGAATACCACACGCGCAGAGTAAAAAGAAATCACGTTTCCAACAACATGCCAGAATTTCGGCACTGCAAGAACGACAGTGCTCTTCTTTCTACTCGGCTCGCGTGCTGCTTTTCTGTGTGCGCACGCGCAGAGCAGCCAAACACCACGTCGCTGGAACTGTGAAGCGCGCAGTTCCAAACAAAGAATTTCGTACCTTTTTCACAAAGTAGGGGATAGCTACTGACGTTAAGCTTAAGGATTATGTATTGTAAAAGTATAAAGAAAGAATTAAAGACTAAAAGGCACACTATATTAAATATTAAAAATAATAATAAGTGGAAATAGGGATGCTGCAGTTCCACAGTACTTATCACGAGCCGTCACTGTTTGGATATCAGCTAACACAGTTACAGGCCACCCATAAATACAGTCAAAAGTCGTTAATCCGGACTCGTCGGGACTTCGGCGATTCCAGTTTATAGATCATCAGTTTAAATCTGGTAAGATGGCATGCAGAAATTACAAAATTAAAAATATGAAACCATAATTTATGAAATAAAGAACAATTATGATCTAAAAGGTATCAAAATTTACAAAAAAAAAAAGCTTAATATTTATTTGTTTACTTTATTAAACATTTCTTTCAATGTAAGTTGTTTAAGTTTAGCTTCATTTCATGTGATAATACTTTCTCTTTAATTCTATTAAACAAACATAATTTCTTGTTTAGTTACAAAGTTCCGCTGTTCAAGTCCTATAATTGCTGTGCTGAGAATACCGACTAATTTGTCAATCGAAATGTTTTCGTTTTCAATAACCTCTCTGTCACTTTCTTCACTATCGGAAGCGAATTATACTGACAAGGAACTTGATTTAAATCATATCAAAGACGGAGTACATCGAGATGAAATACTACATTTAGTAAGGAATTATAAGCCAAATAAAATAAAAACATCTGCCCTGAAGATAAGGATAGTGCTGACAGATCAACTTCCAATTCATAGCACGCCATGGCATTTCTCCCCCCCCCTGCTGCAGAGCAGCGTGAAATTGATAAACAGATTTCGGATTTCAAAACATACTTTCGCTTTGTAGATCCTTTACATATTAGTATATATATATCGGAAATTCTATTTGACATAATCGAAAGTTCAAGCTTACTTTTATAAAATTGCTCTAACAGTCTGCAAAAAATAATAAGCCGGATCCAATTTGAAGATTACGGAACAACGCAATCTGCAACATTAACTGAATTAGATAATTTTAGCTTAGCTTATACCGTCCGTTATACATTAAACACGCACACGTAAACGTATTATGCGCTTGCGCACAGGCAAATTCACAGCCGTAAAGATCTTACGCGCACGCGTAAACACCTATGCGCAAGCGTCAACGCGACGCCTGCGCAGAAAGTTTGTAGCTTTGAGGTCCGGATTATAGATCATTCCGGATTATGGGTGTCCGAATTAACGACTTTTGACTGTATTTCAAAAGAACTCAGTATTTAATAATATAATTTTATGCATGAGGAATTTAAACACTAAAAATTAATTTTTTCCCCAAATAATCACCACTAAACATGGTTTAACAATGTTGGTAAAAGTATAGTTTAGGGTACCCCTTGGCGAAACTTGGCGATTTTTGGTGGTACATGGATACTGATTTTGTGCAATTCTTTGACTCGTTATTTTGGCTTGCGAAGCGTACACAAAGCCAAAATAACAAGATGAACAATTGCATAAACTTGGTATCCATGTACACATCGACTTATTTTCACTTAAAAAAAAACCCCGAATTGCACAAAAATGCCATTGCGCATTCCTTTGACTTTATCCATGTACACGTCGACCTATTTTCACTTTAAAAAAGATCCCCGAATTGCACAAAAATGGCAATGTGCGCTCTTTTAACTTTATCCATGTACACGTCGAACTATTTTCACTTTAAAAAAATCCCAGAATTGCACAAACTTGCATTGTGCACTCCCTTTACTTTGTCCATGTACACATCGATATATTTTCACTTAAAAAGTCAAAGGAGCACAAAGTCTACAATATAGGCAAACAAAAAATACATAATCTCAATAAAATACATTTTAAACCAAACAATAAAATAATATAAAAAAGGAAAAACATGTTATACATTTTTCAAACCAGGTACTCTTTCTGACAGAACGCTTCACATAGTGACCATCTGAGCCTTTCTTCCTACAAACCCATTCAAATCCATCTAAACAGTTTTAACACACACCACAAAAACGCTTATAAAACATACCGTGATTCAAAATTTTTTAGAAACATGTAGCTGATTATGGCACAGTAGGGTTTCCATAACATTCAACTACTCAGGCTACCATAAATGAAACAACAACTTGGCGATAAATCAAACACCAACTTCGCCATAATACAAAGAGTCTACTCTACCCACAATGTTTTAAGAAACAAAAAAACACCCTTTTTTCACTTTGATTCAGTAATATTTATTAAATTCAGAAACTAAAAAAAAAAAAAAACTTAAGTTTATGTAATTAACTAAACATATAAATTCAAATTACATAAAAAAACCACTTATACAAAATGAAATTAACATGCATGCTCATTCATAAATGAATATTAACATAAAATAGTAAGAAAACAGTGGCAAAAGCTTCAGAATCTAAAATTTCGATTAAATTTTTTGAACGTCATATTTGACAATACGCAGTACAAATAAAGCTCTTAATATGTTACCAATAATATTCACACAGAAAAAGTACATTAGTTAGTTATAAAAGAAACAGGACAAGACAACAGCTTTAAAATTGCAATTTAAAAATTTCAAAAAGCTCAAGTAGAAAAGTGTCATACAATTTATATACAATACCATTTAATTAAGATTTGCATAAAAAAGGATCTACGCAAATACTGTAAAAAATTATTACTGAAAGATGACATGAAAAGATAAAGATGACAAACAAAGAATTTTTAAATTCAATAACTCTGTATACTTACATTTTAGGAATTTGATTTTCAAATATATTCTCGAAAAATATGTAGATCAATCTGAATCGAAGCAAAGAACATCTTATACTATCATTTGACTCAGCAAATATTAAGTTATTATTTGACCGTGTAAATATATTTTAAATTTAATGTGATTAATAGTGATAATACATTAATTTTCAAGAAATAATTATGTATAAGTAACTGTAAAATCAACTAAACGCACAATTTATATGTAATAAATTTATTACACACCTTCACTCAAACACTCCTTGAGGAATAAAATCGAGAGGAGAAACAATGCGTTAAGGAAGTTACAAACCGTATGTAAACAAAAGTAAATGCCAGAACAATGCATTCATGATAAATACACACCTACATTTATAGGAGGAAAATGTAAGATTTGATAGGAAAAAGCAGAAACAGACATAACATTAGAAATATTAAATGCTATACAAAGAAGCTCATTAAAAAAACTTACGGTTGTCCCATAAACAAAAGGATTGCGCATAATTCCCTCTATTTATAACAGAGCAAGTCAGCTCGTTTTACAAGAGATTATAAAGAAAAGTTACTAGATTTAAAAAAAAAAAAAAGAGAGAAAAGGAAAAAAAAACTATCTGAAACTACTGTGAAAATATTCTTGCCCGACTGTCACCTATTTAATCAATTTTTTCAGCAGACGAAACATTTGAATTAAAATATATAACGGTTGGAAAGAGCTGAAATGCCTAATGTGCAACGTTTTTAAGAATGACATACTCAATAATTTTTAAGTCAAGTGTTTCATCCACGATAAATCATATCAAACGGGTTACTCACCCGTCTCTTCACACATATATTTACATAGCTGTTAAATTTCAGAGTAACTGTAAATAAAAGTCGCCATTAATGACAATTATCGTAGCGCCATCTGTCTGAATAGTTAGCATTTTTGCAACAAAATAAATTCAAAATTGCCTAACAAAAGATTATCTAAAATTTTTCAAACGAGGAAAAAAATACTATAGCTTATTTTACATATTCTTCCGAGGACAAGAGTACGAACTACTTTTCCTGACCAATATTATGAAGGGAACGGAGCAATTATCAACCATGCCGACAAAAACACCGCTTGTTTTTGCGTCATTCTCTTCAATGAAACACAGTACGATATTTCAACAGAAATCCAAAAATTGCTCTAGTATATAAACTACTACATCATAGACTGACATGTCTTAAAATAAAATATGCTTTATTGTGTTTCAGAAGCATTTTGCACGAAATAATACTTTTTCCTTTCGTATGTCCCACAACTCTAAAGGCCCTTCTACACGTAGCGATTTCCTCGGCCGACAATATCTGAGATAGCTCGCCTGTCCACACATATAACGATTTTCTCGCAGGATCAAGGACATACAAGTTACGGAGTTCTTAGGCATTAACGCCTTTACCTCTACATTATCAAAAGAGGGGGATTTCTAACACGGTAAAAATTTGATAAGCCGAAAAAAGCTTTATGAATAAATGCCTTCAAACTGAGAAAAAAGGAAAAAACTCAGAAGGCTAATTTTGCACCAAAATAGCTTAGATAGGGGCAGTCATCATTTACAAAAATTTAGACTAGGAATAGTAAAATGGTGTTTTCTTGAAGCTTGATCATTCGTTGCGAGCGTCAACTATGCGGAGACCGAAGAACCTATAGGGGAAAAGTCAATGACCTTACACTACGAGTGCTTCTAAGGATGAATTGGGAGGGGGGATGCGCTAACGTTTCGAAAAAGTTGTAGTGTCAGTGTTCAGCTCACAGGGGAGAAGGAGCACCTTTCGCCCGCTATTCTTTCGGTATTTAAAGCTAAATGATTGACACCTCTTAGGATTTGCAGCATAATCAGGGTTGAGAACCGATCTCGGTCTCTTCCTGGATGAGGCGACTGCAGGATCATAAACACGTAGCATATGTAGCACAGGATACGCAACATGTTGAATATTTTTGAAAAAGTTATCCGAAAGTCGCTGTGTAAAGCGATTGATGGTGATAAGTTTGAGGTCATTATGAATTTCTTTGTTCCTTATATACCACGGAGCTTTAAGTATCTGCCGAAGCATTCTAGATTAGAAAATGTGGTCATTTTTTCTGTTAGTCAGCACTGAGGGGCCCCAAATAGGGCATGGGCTGATTACTTGACTAAAGGCTGATCCAGAGGGAGCCTTAACTGAGATCTGGAGCAGCCTTAACTTGATCTATCCGAAATAAGGCTCCTTATCTCCTCCGAAATAAGGTCTAGAGGAGTCTTAATCCGAAAGGATGGATCTTTTTTCCTAGCTTCGAAAAAAGTTAGAGATAAGGTAGGTCGCGACCAGTTAAGAATAAGGTACGAGTAGGACGCATTATTAGGTAAACACTTTAGTAATAGTAGGTGCACCACTCATCATCACAGCGATAATGTTTGGGCTTTTGGTATTAAACATAATAATTTATGATATAAACTTAATATCCTTAAAGGAGCCAAGTTGGAGCAACCAAGGCTGTTCTCCGAAACTTATCCCTCGTATTCTTATTGATAGAAACAAATTTTGCGCAAGCATGGTCCGTTTGAATAATAGCATCGAAGATTTTATATAAGCGGAAAACAAAAATCGCCCAACTATAGTAGATAGTAAAAAAAATATATGTATCTATCTCCTTTCTTAATGCCCTTTTATACGTGTTCAAAACTCCTATGTTCTCCGAACCTTATCCCTCGTATTCTTATTGATAGAAACAAATTTTGCGCAATCATGGTCCGTTTGAATAATAGCATCGAAGATTTTATATAAGCGGAAAACAAAAATCGCCCAACTATAGTAGATAGTAAAAAAAATATATGTATCTATCTCCTTTCTTAATGCCCTTTTATACGTGTTCAAAACTCCTATTTTCAAATATTTGTTTTTCAGACTAATCTTTGAAGTTCAGTTTTTCATTCAGGTAGGAATGCTTAGAAAACTAAAATAAAAGAAGAAACTTTTTCTGGATTACCTAAATACCTTTCATTATGGTTAATTTGATTTTTTTCCCTTGCGGGGGGGATTTAACCTTTTGAAATTTGAGATTAGCAAAATTTGATGACTAACAACGTCAGCACTCTTAATTCTCAACTCTACATTATTATTTATCTATTGTTTTTTAATTCTCTTCTGAGGAGAATTTCTGCACGCTTAATTTCTTAAAACTTGTTCTTTTCAACATGACATACTGGCGTCAAGCAGGAATAACGTAAGATTTTATTTTTAAGTATATACCTTGTCAACTTATTAATATATACTGGGATTCTTCTTTCTTATAAATTAATTTCGACACTTAAGGTCACCCTGACCATTTAATATTCACGGTATCCCGCATACATTTTAATACTATATTTCATAATTTTCATTAATTACGTGTTTTTATGTTATGAAGACTCCAAATTCGAATTCACTTTCTGTAATTAATTCTGAGTTTATTTAACTGCAATTAATACATAATCGATTTCGACATTCCTGTACTGCTAGTTGTCCATTTTATGTGCTAAACTTTTATTGTTTCAACTCTCTAAAACAGTTAGAAATGGGAAAATGTCAAGAGTAGGGAAGGGAGTAATAATTTTTAGAATGCTGTTTAGGTAGTAATTAGGGTAGTACTATACTTGTCAGTACAGTATTGTTCAAAATACTGTGTCAGTGATTACTATTTGAAGGTATGGTTCCATCATATAGTAATCATTGACAAGGTATATATGTTTAAAATCTATTCCAATAAAATGTTTTAGTTTTAAGATTTTTTTGTTGGGCACTAATGTAGAATTGATGCCCCTTTGATTAGCGACAAATTTTGTTCAGTTTTTGCGATGAAACCCCATTTCTGGTTACCACAATAGTGTTAACTTTGTTTTAGCTTCCTGACGTTTTTTAAGTGAAAATAGAGTGATTTGTACATGAGCAAAGCAGTGCTCAATCCCTAGTTTGTGCAATTCTCTGATTTATTTTATTTTATTTATTTATTTATTTTAAGTGAAAATAGATCAGTGTGTACATGGACACTGAGTTTGTGCAATTCTTTGACTTCTTATTTTGTTTTTTTGTAGCGGACATTATGAAATTGTGTCTTCCTGGTGCCAATCTTGGCGTCAAAAAAAGGGGGGGGGGCACCATATTGTAAATTTTTACCTTTTGTTGTGTTTGCATAGTTTAATAAAATTATGGGCATCTAAATAACCACAAAAACAACAAGGGCCATTTTAATAATTAAACCAGTACTAGGCATATTTGCTAAACTAAAGAAAGGGAATCCTGTTTACATATTTGTTAAATTTGATGTTATTATCCAAAATGCACTTAACAAAAAGGGGTAAAAGAATATTTACGGGTACCCTTTGGTGAAAATTGGCGATTTTTGGTGGTACATGGATACCAAGTTTGTGTAATTCTTTGACTTTATCCATGCACATGTTGACCTATTTTCACTTGACAAAAATCATCAGAGAATTGCACAAACTTGGCATTGCACACTCCCTTGACTTTGTACACATCCATATATTTTCACTTAAAATTCAAACGAGCACCCAATTCTAGGTAAAAGTATATTTACGGAACATTCAACTACTCAGGTTGCCATAAATGAAACAACTTTGCGATAATACAAGTGGTACCCTCCAGTCTTCTATAACCCAAAAAGAAAGCCTGTATGAAGTAACTAATAGAGTAGCCCTAAATAGAAGGAAATTATCTTGTGCTCATCAAAAACAAGATCAGAATTATCAGCAAGATTTCCCATATCAAGCTGTTATGTACACTGCACAAAGAAAGATGGGACAGTTTTATGTCTTCTGTTCTACTGAGCCGATTAACAAAATTCAACTTGTGTTTTTCATGTCTCAAAAGTGTGACTTGGGATATATACAGTACAGAGATCCGGATATGTGATTGTTTCGGGTATTATATTGTCAGTTTAAAGCTAGTAAGATGGCACATAGCAGTTATAAAATCAAAAATATGAAATTGTGTTTTGTGAAATAATGAACCATATATGATCTAAATGGCATCAAAATTTATCCTTAGTATTTATTTATTTGTTTTATTAAACATTTCTTTCTATGTAAGTTGTTTAAGTTGCTTCATTTTATATGTTAATATTTTCTCTTTAATTCTACAAACAGACATATTTCTTGTTCAGTTACAAAGTTTCATTGTTTAAGTCCTGTAATTGCTGTGTCAAGCATTCTAAGTTGTCAGTTGAAATTTTTTTCATTTTCAAAAACCTCTCTGTCACTTTCTTCACTATCGGCAGTGGTACGAGGCGTATTCGGAAACTAAGTACCGTTTTGAAAAAAAAAAAAAAAAAAAAAATAGTAAAACAATTTTTTTGAATCCAATTTTATTTTTACATGAAAATACATGTCTTAAACTATTTTTCAACATAGTTTCCGCCAATGATCAAACACTTGTCATAGCGGGTGACCAATTTTTGTATACCATCGTCAAAGAAACTTCCCGCCAGTTTCGATAACCACGACTCCACAGCATTTTTCATGTCATCATCAGATCCAAAGCACTTGCCACCAAGCTCGCGCTTCATGTGCAGGAACAAGTGATAGTCGGACGGCGCCAAGTCCGGGTTGTACGGCGGGTGATCGAACTGCTCCCAATGAAACTGTCGAATTAATGATTGAGTGACACCAGCAGTATGGGGACGAGCATTGTCATGGAGCAACACAATTCCTTTACTGAGCAATCCTCTTCGTTTGTTTTGAATGCACGCCTTAGTTTTGTTAAAGTCTCACAATATTGTGCCGCATTAATGG